CCTCTCCCCAGTAGTGGGTGGTGGCAAACCAACTTTTATAAATGTACAGCAAAAATGTGAAATCTCTTTTCCAATTTAACGCTATGATTGTCATAATTCTTAGATAAAATTGAATTATAAATAACACATATTGCAAATTTATAAAGATGAGAATGTGAAGCAGAATAACTGTGAATAACATTATTAAGCACAAAGATTAGTTAATTCTTTTAATGACATATTTATCTCTATAAAAAGACTTTTAAAACCAGCAACAATTCATAACGTCTGTCCTTTAGTTATATTAGATTTAATTGCTACAATGAAGATTATTTAAGGAGCAGAAGAAAACACCGATTTTAGGGGCATCTAAGAAAAAAAAGAACATTTTGTATAAAAGCATGTTAGGAAATATTTGAAATAAGACTTACCAATCTGCTGAACACGTGGCAAGCTGACAACATATTCCACTTCGATTCTCAAAAACAGAACCCATTCTGTTAATCTATTTTTTAAAAATGCAAGAAAAGTAAATTCTTATAGAAGAATGATGTTTTTCCTCATAGTTATTTACCTCTTACATTTTTTTCTTCTTGGATTTGAATGACTTAAGAACTACACTGACGAATGGCATTCCAAAAGTGTTATGCTGTAATCAGCAATGGCAGTGTTTACTGGTTTTACCACCTCATTCTTTTTTAACAGAATACTAGTGGAAATTTTCATTTAAAAACTAAGTCCCAAATAGTTTTTATATAGTTTTTATAGTTTTATGCTTTATAAAGCATTATTATTGCTTTATTATTAATGTCTTTGATATTAGAATGGCTGAATAATTTTTATGTTGATTTTCTAATCGTTTTGTTTACTGTATATGCCTTTTGCTTATTTATTGGAGGTTTTTATATTTTCCATATTTGGTACAAATATTTTTCTCCATTTTGTTATTTACTCTTTACTTTTTATTTTTATTTTTTATTGATCCATACTAGATGTATGTTTTTGGGGTACAAATCAAGTCAGGGTAATTGGAATGTCCATTGCCTTAAACATTGATCTTTTCTTTATGCTAGGAATATTTAAATTATTCTCATCGAGCTACTTTATAATGTACAATAGGTTGTTGTTAACTATCGTCACCCCATCGATCTCTTGAACACTGGGTCTTATTTCTTCTATCTGTCCCCATTAATTAACCTCTTTTAATCCCCTCCATTTTTAATTTAGAAATTTATATGTGTATATTTTATATCTGTCAATCTTTCCTTTGTGATTTCTTTCAACATTAATAACCCAAGGAGACCATCCAGTTCCAGAAATGTAATATTCTATTCTGATTTGTTGTAGTTTTCTTATTTGTTATCTTCACTTAAATTTAAAATCATTTGGATTAAAATGCATGTATATAGTGTGAGTTGAAATGACAGTGATGCAAAGAGTGGAAAATATTCACACCTTATTTTTACATATCAAAACCTCATCTTCTCTACTATTGTATTATATAAGTATTGACACCACCTACGTTAAAACAATTGTTTATGTTATCTTTTTATTTTAAAGACATGGGGTACAATTCAGGATTAGGTATACAAGTGGTTATCATACAGATAAAGTTTGGGCCTCCCTTTGGTCCCCACTTTACCTGGTTTGAGATCAGGTACCCTTAATGATGTTGTGTCCTCCCCACCCCTGTTGCATCCCGCTATTCCTTTTCTTTTTCTCTTTCTTTCTTTCTTTTTTTTTTTAAGAAAGTAGGATTTATTGAGAGGACAGAAAAACTCCCACAGTGGAAGGGGAACCAAGGGGGTTACCCCAATCCCTTTCTTAAAGTATTATGATAATTATTCAGGATCCGCTTATGAATGAGAACATGTGGTACTCTGTTCTTTGTTTCTGTGATAGATCACCCTGTATGATAGACTCTAAATCCACCCAGGTTGCTGCGAAGTTCATATGCTTGTCCTTCTTTATGGCTACATAATATTCCATTGTTTATATATACATTTTTTAATCCAGTCCAGTTTTGATGGGCAACACGGTTGACACCACTTACATTTTTTTTTTTTTTGAGTTGGAGTCTCACTCTGTCACCCAGACTGGAGTGCAGTGGCCGCTCCCGGCCACCGCAGCCTCGACCTGCTGGGGTCCGGCGATCCTTCCGCCTCAGCCTTCCCAGTAACCGGAATTACAGGCATGCACTACCACGCCCGGCTGATTTTTTGATTTACTGTAGAGATGAGGTCTCACTGCTGAGGCGGGTCTCGAACCCGTGGGCTCAGGTAATCCACTCACCTCAGCCTCCCAAAGGTGTGAGATTACAGGCTGAGCCACCGAGCCCGGCTACCACTTATGCTTTTAAGTTATAATTCAGCCAACCAAGTTGAAAGGTTGGCCTTATTCTCATTTCCAAATCAGATGCTGGTCTTGCGGCAGTGACCCAATTTTTTGAAGTTTAGTTCCTGGTTATTTCACAATTTAAGTGTAAATGATTGTTGATTTGAAATACCTTCTTTGGATAAAGTCCAAAAACTTACAGTCCAGAAGGTGAAAAGTATAAGGTCATCAAAACTCACCTCGAATGTATCAGACAGCCAGTGTATATCTGTAATTACGTTCTTATGCCCATTTTCTATTGAAGAAACTGCACAGTGTCTGATATACATTGCTTCCTTATTGCTATCTGGCTCAAGGAGAAACATAGGCTGAAAAAATATGAAAAGAAATTTGTGTGCTTTTCATTTCAGAGACCCGATGAAAGAACTCATGCATTACTCATCATTCCAATTAAAACTATTCATTAGGAGAAATACCAGTTCAAGGAAAACCATAAATTATGTTCCTACATACCATGAATTTAGGCAATAGGATTATCTACTTTCCCCTCCAGTTTAGTTTAAGATTTTATCTCTGAATTTAACAAATATTATTGACCTCCCTACAGAATCAATGAGACATCCCATTCTTTTTTTTTTTTTTTTTTTGAGTGGAGGGTCTCACTCTATTGCCCAGGTTGGAGTGCTTTAACACCATCACAGCTCACTGCAGCCTTGATCTCCTGGGCTCAGGTGATCCTTCTGCCTCAGTCTCCCATGTAGCTGGAATTATAAGCACACACCACCATGCCCAGCTACTTTTAAAATTTTTATGTAGAGACAAGGTCTCCATATGTTGCCCAGGCTGGTGTCGAATTCCTGGGCTCAAGTAATTCTCCCTCCTCATCTTCCCAGTGTGTTGGAATGACAGGCATGAACCACTGTGCCCAGCCATCACATCCCATTCTTGAAGGCATATTTGTATTTGTGAATAAAAAAGGCCACATTCCACCACTCCTTGGTGAGAGACCTGTTGATTTTTTTTTTTTTTTTTTGAGTTGTACTCTCACTCTGTCACCCAGGCTGGAGTGCAGTGGCACCCTCATGGCCACTGCAGCCTCGACCTGCTGGGCTCAGGCAATTCTTCTGCCTCAGTCTTCCAAGTAGAAGGAACCACAGGCAGGCACCACCACGCCCAGCTAATATTTTGACTTATTGTAGAGATAAGGTCTTGCCAAGTTGCCCAGGCTGGTCTCGAACCCCCTGAGATCAGGCAATCCTCTTGCCTTGAACTCCCATGGTGCTGGGATTAGAGGCCTGAGCTACCGCACCCGGCTGACCTCCTGATCTTAAGGATGAAGAACTGAACTGAGTCGATGTGCAGGATGGTGGGCAAGTACTGAGTTGGGGGCTGGGGAATCTTTTCCCAACCCTCCAAACAGAATCCACGGCCTCACAAAAATATACAATCCTCAGAAAGGATTGTAACCCCTTCATTTTACACATGGTAAACCTATTTCTGCTGAGGTGAGGTGGAATGTCCACACTCACAGGACGAGGGTGCAGAGCCTGGGTACTGAGCTCTCTGTCCAGTGCTCTTCCAACCACCTCGCTTTCAGTGAGTCACTTGGTCCCTTAATTTTTCTTAACAACCGTAACAACGAAAAAGAAGCTAACATCCATGATAGATGTTGTGTTTCAATCAAGGGCCATGTACAAGTGACTCAGAACAGGCAGATGCGAAGGCTTGGAAAATTACATTCCCCCCTTTTCTACTGAGATTTTGTTAACCTTGGCAACTGTTACATGCTTTTCCATCAACTTCTGAACGGGAAAAACTCGCAAGAGGAAAATGACAAAAAGCTAACCTTTAGTGTGGGTTTTTTACTTCTGCTATCTCCCGTCTTGATGTTCTCTATACGGTCTGCATGGGCAGTGATGTCCCATAGGATAATCTAAAGCAGAAACAAATGTTATTGTAACATTTTAATGAAATAGCTAATTGGTCTCAAAGATTTTTTTTAAACGATTGGTATGCTGTCTAATAAATCAGTCATCTTAGGGGAAAATCAAATTTAGCTGGTATCTTAATTAAGCCAGCAACTTTTAAAGCTAATATAAGAGAAAATGTTTTGTTTTCTATAAAAGTACTGTATCTTCAACACTTTGATGTTTGTGCTTATGTTGATAATGGTAGTATTTTTTTAAAAACTGACATAAATGTCATCCATCCCCTTCGCCTTGGGAAGAATTCTTCCTCTGTTTTTTTTTGTTTTTTGTTTTTTGTTTTGAGTTGCAGTCTCGCTCTGTCGCCCAGACTGGAGTGCAGTGGTCGCTCCCGGCCACCGCAGCCTTGACCTGCTGGGCTCCAGTGATCCTTCCGCCTCGGCCTTCCCAGAGCTGGAATTACAGGCGCGCGCTACCACGCCCGGCTAATTTTTGATTTATTGTAGAGATGAGGTCTCGTCAAGTTGCCCAGGCGGGTCTCGAACCCGCGGGTTTAGACAATCCACTCACCTCGGCCTCCCAAAGCGAGGGATTACAGGCTGAGCCACTGAGCCCGGCCTTCTTCTGTTTTTGGAAAGTGATTGTAGGGACAATTGCTTTAGACCTAGGGGAAAATACGTCATATTGTCCAGAATTAAATACAAGTACCAGATTGTCCAAAAATGACTGGGAAGCAATTATTTCTGTTCAGTTGAATACTATGACCAACTCTGAATGTATATAAATCTGGAAGGTCATTTCTTGGAAAATCAAAATAAAAAAGAATATGTAACACTAAATTAGATTAATTTCTGATGACTAAAAAGGTCATTCATTGCACTAAAATATTAGCAAAATGTCAGGATTACAGAGTTGTGATTTTATTTTCATCATATGGTTTTAAAAGATATTTTAAAACAAAGGCACATTACCTTTGCCATGAGTGAAAAAGGCATTTCAGAATTTGCCGGGCTTGGAAGATGGACTCTGTGTCGTTATTATGACCCTCAGTTATTGTTGAACAAAACTGAGGGAGACACATTTGTTTTCCTGGTTATTTTTGGTTCTGGATAAATGGGCATGGAAGCCATACCCATTTACATTTTAACCACACACAAAAAGATCATATACCCTTGTAATGGCCAAACACACTCAATAACAATGAATTTAAACTTTGATCATAAAACAGATTTATGTTTTGCTTCACTAGAAAAACAGGATATTAGAGGATAGGACCTAAATTTTATACATTAGATAACTTGAAAAGAAGGAAAAGAATAAACACGACATTAAATCTATAGACATAAATCCAGTGATAAATGTATGCTTTCCAGTGAATTTCTATTTAAATTCCAAATCGCCTCCTAACTCCCACCCACAGAGAAATTTCACATGAGGCCTTTTGCCCAAGAGGTAGTGACGTTTTGTAGCTTCTGTTCTTCCATGGACTCTCATACAACTGGTGGGTCTATCCCAGCAACCCAAATGGATTTGACCCATTTCAGTTATGTAACTGGGTTATTCTGGGAACATCTCAAGCACTGACATCATGTCTAACACATCTCTATACTCTAGTTTCTGGCATGAGGACCGGCCCACCATTGGCATGCCTTCCCTCTGCTGAGTTGAGGCCTTACGTTCAGAAAACTACCAAATCAAAACTTATTACAGGATGTTGTCCACATTAATACATAGCTGAAATAATTCCATAAGTACCTGCCCATTGATACATCCTCCAGCGATGATGTTAGGGTCACTGGGACAGAACTGGAAGCAGAAGATGTCATCTGGGCTCTCCAGCATCAACTAAAGTAAACCCCACAAATGCAAGAAGGTGTGAGAAAATCTACTAGGATCGTGGCTAGAAAATAACATTAACTCAGTTAAACGTCTAATTTTATAGCAATCTATAGGCAATGTGTCTATAAAGTTCATTCCCAGAGTTCTACCACTAAGCTAGAAGCTGCTTTTGTTAAATTTTATTGTAGATGTTCAAGAGGGACCAAAAGCAAAAAACAAAAAGCAAAAACACAACAACAACAAGGCCCAGAATTATCTTTTGGAGGGCGGACCTCTTGTAGTACAAGCTTCTCCTGCTAGGTAAGGGTTCTAGGAATCCATTGGTATCAGTGTACCAGCTAGCGTTGTTGTGAGAAGCTGTGTTCAGCTTCAGTGAGTTTTTTTTGGAGATTCTTTCAATGTGTTTGCCTATTTAATGATGTGTGTACCTGCCCCACACTGTGCTGAGTGTTCAGCAGTTTTTTGTTTGTTTGTTTGTTTGTTTGCTTGTTTTGAGCTGAAGTCTCACTCTGTCGCCCAGACTGGAGTGCAGCCTCGCCTGCTGGGCTCCGGCGATCCTTCCGCCTCAGCCTTCCAAGTAGCCGGAATTATAGGCACGCGCTACCATGCCCGGATGAATTTTTTTTTTATTTATTGTAGAGATGAGGTCTCGCTGCCCAGGTGGGTCTCGAACCCGTGGGCTCAGGCAATCCACTCACCTCAGCCTCCCAAAGGTGCGGGATTACAGGCTGAGCCACCGAGCCCGGCCGTTCAGCAGTTTTTGACCAAAAACTGGCATGACTCCCATGTCCCACCCTCCCCATTCACCCATCTCATCCAAGTGACTTTTTTTTTTTTTTAGTTTCCTTCGATGAAAAAAGTCCTCAAAGGGAAACATCTTGCCAATGTGGGAGAGGTGAAACAGAAAATGGCAGAAGCACTAAAAGGCGTCCAAATGGACGAGTTCAAAAACTGTTTTGAGCAGTGGAAAAAGCATCTTGATAGGTGTGTTGCATCAAATGGACAGTACTTTGAAGATGACTGAGGTTTAAACATGTAAGAACAAATGCACAACTTTAATTTTAAGAAATAAATGATGTTTTTTATGGGTTCTCCTCTAGCACGTATGAGAATGAGTATGTTCTCAAGGGGTCCTAGGTCTCCTGGATTATTGCCAGTGATAATATTGCAAGTTTTAAAATAATACAGAGCCCAGAAGGTGAACAGGTTCCTGCAAGGAAAACACAAGTAGGAAGGAATAGTTATATTTAAAAAATAGCACTGGCCAGGTGCAATGGCTCACAACTGTAATCCCGGCACTTTGGGAGGCCCAGGCAAGAGGATTGCCTGAGGTCAGGGGTTTGAGACCAGCGTGGGCAATTTGGTGAGACCAGCGTGGGCAATTTGGTGAGACCTCATCTTTGCAATAAGTACAAAAAATTTGCCAGTCATGGTGGCGTGTGCCTCTGGCTCTGGCTACTTGAAAGGTTGACGCGGGAGGATGTCCTGAGCCCAGCATATCAAGGCTGTGGTGGCCGTGAGCAGCATGCCACCACATTTTAGCCTGGGTGACAGAGTGTGACTCCTACTAAAACAAAACAAAACAAAGCAACCGCCTCCCCCACAAAAAGAGCACCTAACCATTCTTCTTCAAACATAACTACCAAAAAAATAAATAAATAAAAAGTCCCAGTAGGTCATAGTTTTGCCATGACTGATCTAGAGGTTTCAAACTGGGGTTTCAAACTGGGCAATTGGGGGTAAATTAACTTGGTTTATTTGGTACTTTGTGTATTCTGGAGAAACCTTTCCTTTTGAAAACAAAATATTTTAATACTCTCTCATAGTTTTCATTAGACCAAAGGCAAAATAAATCCTTGGCATTATTTCTTCAAAGACTGTCAGCCAGGGTGGGGGTTGGAAGTGAGCACAACCTCAGTAAGGGTACCTGATCTCAAACCAGGCAAAGTGGGGACCAAATGATGCCCAAACTTTACCTGTATGATATCCACTTGTATACCTAATCCTGAATTGTACCTCACATCTTTAAAATTAAAAAAAAAGACTCCTTGTCTTTTTAAAGCTATCCTTCAAAACAGAGAGAAAAGGAGTGTCTCTATTTCTTCTTCCTAACTGTCTGGAAGCTTAGCCACGCTTCCATGGCATGAAGTGGAAGGTGGGGTAGTTTTAGGGTAGAAATGTTAGCAAACCCTAGCGAGAGAGTGGCACGATTTTTGTGGTAAGTAGGTTGACAAGGCAGTTAGCGATCTATCACTTTGATCCCTGGGTCAATAGGAGGTAGAGTCTAGAGTCTGTCACAGTAAAACTGCCTTAATTCCAATGAATTATGGAAGCTGGAAGAGGGGGAGCTTAAGATTTATTGGGGAAAGGCTTAATTATGCAAACAAATATTCTTATATTTAAATACACTGAAATAATCTAACACGGTAACGCACCCTCCCACTAAGCAAAACTCTTATTGAGCAGATCATAGAAACTAGAATCCTGTGTAGTGAACTGACCTTCAGCCTTGTTTTATTTGGATTGCTATGTGCTTTGGTTTAATTTGAGTGAAGGGGTGTGTGTGTGTGTGTGTGTGTGTGTGTGTGTTGGCTTGGTTTTTGTTGAACTATTTTAAAATGAGACGATTTCACAGAACTCCAAATTTCTGGATTATCTTGACAATGAACCCACCTAGCAATGAGAGAGCTTGAGAGAAGCCAACTCAGAGATGGGCAGTGCAGTCACTAGGGCCACAGTTCCCACCACACCCCACTGTCCTCCCACACAGTCACCTTTATTTATCACCACTGGTGATCCCCTGGAATTGAGGAAATCCATGCGAAATTAAAATCTATTTGCATTTGGCCAAGCAGCACTGAAATAAAACCCATAACAGAGTGTGTTTTTACAAACAGGCTAAACGATTCTCCTTAAAATCTTTGAAAAACAACAGCACGTTGATTTATTCAGTAAACCAATTTCAGTTTTGCTTGGATTGAATGATGACAAGTTCTGCACTGAAGAAAGCCTAACTGCACAAGGGTTTACCACATTAATTGATCATGAAGTACGTTGTGATCAAAAACTGCTGAAGACAAACATGGAAGGAGCATTTGGGCTGTGTGGGCCTCCGTAGTCACCTGAGGGTGAATGGGGTCGGAGAAGCTCCAGAAAAGGATCAGCGAGGGCTGCAGCAGTAATTTGCCAGAAAAGTGGACTCTGTCTTCAAAGGACAGTCGCACGGCCACTGACACAGCTATGAGCCCTGATGGGAACACAAGTCGAAATTAAAGTCAGCAGCAACCGTTCATGGAGAGATGTTTCCAGCTTTTGCATTTCTGCAAAATCACTGTTCATTTCTGGTTTGGTGAAATTTGAGGAACAATATTCCACGAGAGACCGAGAATGTTCTTAAAGCGCCCTGCTGTGTAATATGGTAGTCCCTGGCCACATGTCACGTATTTGGCACTGGAAATGTGTCTGGTTCAAATGAGATGTGCTGTTCGTTTAAAATATGCAGTAGACTTAGAAGATTTGGTAAGAAAAGTTTGTGTGTGTGTGTGTGTGTGTGTGTGTGTGTGTGTGTGTGTGTGTGTGAGAGAGAGAGAGAGAGAGAGAGAGGGCCCATGGAGGGTCAGAGGAGGAAGAAAGGGGACTAAGACCTCTCTCTCTTCATGGCCCCATGGCCCCACCTTCACACGTCACTACCCCCATTGGCTGCTGAACTCCTTAAAGGAAATGGTTTTCTCTCTCATTCAGTAATCAGAAAGGCAGAGTGTTAGGAGGAATGAATTCAGCAGCCTTGGGACTCCAGTAGGCCTGAGACAAATCTACACTCCGCATTGTGTCAGCTGGGTGACCTGGGCAAGTCCTCTTGTGAAATGGAGATAACCACACAATGATGCAGTGTCCTCCAGGATTGTTGGGAGGACACATCAGCCAAGGTGGAGAAGGTGCTTGGCAAGTGCTGCCACTCAGCAAATGGAAGTTGCTTATTGAAATTTATTAAAACCGTGCTGCCCATCAAAAGAGGACTGAATAAAAAAATGTGGTACATAGACACGAGGGAGTATTATGGAGCCATAAAGGACAAAATTATGAACTTCACAGCAACTTGGATGGAATTAGAGGCTACAATACTGAGTGGTCTATCACAGAAACAAAGAACTGAGTATTATATGTTCTCACTCATAAGCGAACCTTGAACAACTATCATCATACTACAAGAAAGGAATCAGCAGTAGTGTTAAACTGCCAGCAGTGTGGGGTGGGAGGCCCAGCTCATCAACAGGGGTACCTGCATAATGAACATTTGTATACCTAAGCCTGAATTGTACCCCACATCTTTAAAAAAAGAAAGAAAGAAAGAAATCGAGCTAGTTTGCCATTTTACATTTAAAAGCAATTGGCAATTTCTGGGTAATCACAAAAGAGAATCCTTGTCACTTGCGTCTCACCATAGATGGTTGGATGCCATGAGATGCAGGTGATCATCTTCTCTGTGGGACTATGAAGGTCGGTGAAGGACTGGTACTCCTTCAAGTGGGTATCGGTCTTGTCCCCAAAGGTGCCCTCCTCTTCTGCGAGGTTCTTCCAGTCATCAATAAATGTGTTCATGATTTCATTTTGCTGTAGGGCTATTTCAACACTATTTTGTAAAAATAAAAAAAAAGCAATTCAGATGTTGGAGTTTAGTTCCAATGATATGACTATCACAGCAGCTCTTTCTACTTCACTTATACTGAACAGAAATTTTACAATTCTCAGTCGTATTTGGTGATATGATTAACCTCATATGAAATGAATGACTTCAGAGAAAAAAAATGGTGGTGAAATTCAGAACATCTTTCAAAAACTCGCTGTTTGTTAGCTGCAAATTCATGACGTGCCTCAGTTTCCACGCCGAGGTTGTGCTGTCTCCAGGCCAGGGACTGAGCATGGTGGTGGCAGGGATGCTGGACCTGGTCGGTTTCCCTCTTGCAGGATTTTTCCTACTGTCTGTCTTTGCTCCTGAATTCCTACTGTGCTGGCTTGAAAATTTGAAGCTCTGCCCACTGGGTTCGCTCCCTCCTCTATCTTTCACAGTGTAAACCTCAGCAAACCTCTGCCTCTAACTGGATCTCATTTGCATGCTGGAAAGCCCCAACTGTCACAAAAGGGCAACTCGCAGTTCTTAAGGGCATATTCAGTACTAAATAATCACTTATACTAAATGAGATGGCCCAGATACAGGTGTAATTCAAAGCAACAAATATGAGATTCTCAATAAGGGGACATTTGGAGTTTAGAAGTGTGAGTGTGAGTGAGTGAGTGAGTGAGTGTGTGTGTGTGTGTGTGTGTGTGTGTGTGTGTGTGTGTGTCTGGTGGTTCTAGATGTCGCAATGCCTTCATGGACATGTTTAATTCCCTTACTAAACCTCCTGCAATGCATGAGACAGGCCCCCAAATCAAAAATTATCCAGCTAAAAATACTAATATCATTGCTTTAAGAAATGACCTGACTGCAAGGATCATCTGTCAATTGTCAGGGGACTCTGGTTTGACAGTCTCCAGTATTAAAATAGTTACTGTGATGTGTATGGTCATGTTGTATGCTTAGGTTTGAAAACGCTGCTTACTTTCAAGGCCTCTTTGAGTTCTCCTAAAATGAGAAAACCACTCAAGGTTTTACCTTCACGATCCCAGGTCCAAATATTTCCTTTTTGTTTGGTTAATAGGTGTGGTAAGCTGAAAAATCAGTTCTCAGTTATGAATTTCTTAAAATAAGAAGAAACCTTTTATTTAGACAAATACAAACACTGCATATCATAATAGATACTCCTAAAATGTAAAACAAGACTACCATTTGATACCCATCATTAATCATTAACACACACTTCATTGAATAACTCTTTTGGTTAAATTCTTCTTGTACTTCCTCTTTCAAAACAGAAGCCTTTTCTAGGACCTTGCCGCTTAAAGTGTGGTTCATGGACCAGCAGTGACAGTGGCACCTGGAGCTAGTAATAAATGCAGAGTTCCAGACTTTATGCCAACCCACTTAGTTGGAACCTGCATGTTAACGAGCGGTAGTTCCTACGCGCATCAGACTTTGACCAGCCCTGGGTAGGCTATGTTCACGGCCTGGAGCATCAAGTTTTAAACTCATTAGTAAGCATTTTCAGAATCTTTGTTCTTTCTGGGAGATAATGAGTGAGAAAGGAGTTCTTGAGAGAGACGTTAAAGACACAGCCTTTGCTCTGGTGTCCTGATGCTTCTCCCTCAGCCGGAAAAGGGGAAGTAATTTACAAGGAGGAAGTGAAGACAGCACCTGTCCTCTGGTTTCTGGGTCCTTGATTTCCAGGAACCCTGTGGCTTTTGAGAGGAATGAACCGGAGGCTGGCACGAGTGTCTCTGAAGTGAAGCCCATGAGCATCATTGGATTTTTTTTAACCCCCAAATAAAAATTTCTTACTCGCTTTGTGAATCCCCTCAAAGTTTCTCTCTCACCTCTCAAGTCATTGCCTACTTTGGCAAATAATGTTTCCCTGAGGTTTGTTTTAGATAAAATTCTATGAGAAAAAAAGGGCCTCATTTCTAAAAGGGCTTTTCTCCCCAGAATTAAATCAGGCTCATATAAATTAAAAAATACTAAACATTCCTCAAGCAGTTGAAAGTACGGCAGTGATATAAACTTGGGTTTCTTATTTACACTTGACCAGTGCTGTGATAATTCCTGAGCCAGTTTAACTCTCTCTTCATAGAGATGTCTTCTTTCCAACCCTCAGGGGAGATTATAAAGCTGTTCACTTCTCTTTTCTTATAAGAACGGCAATCGAGAGGACAGAATAAAAGCCAGGTCTAAAGATAAAACACAGTGTGGCTAATTCAGAATTCACTGCAGTCCATTTATGTGAATTTAAAAAAATTTTTTTATTTCTTGAAGGTCTAGTTTTCCCTGGACATTGATTATATGTAAACAGACTTCTCATTTTTAATGCTTTTACAGAAAAATTTGTGTGAATACTTAATTTTGATATGCGGAAAAAGAAATCTTAGGATTTCTTGTTTCTTTCTCATTGCCCATATAGGAAAAATTATAACATACTTCCTATGAATAAGTGGCAAATAGTTAATGTACTCTCGGAATCATTAAGCGAATTTTTAAACTAGATTCTTTCCAGGCATAAGTAACAACTTTTGAGAGCTGTTGGAATTTTCAAGATATATCATCCAGTCTGAAAGAATTAACGATGTCTCTTGAAAATAAAAAAGTTTAACTTGGGCTATATATGAACTTGACCACCAAATTTTAATTTTGGGAAGAAATGGAAACCAATCTATCGAGTATAACTGGCAGAGCTGTCCATCATTGATTCCACTTCTCTAAACTCTAATGTCAGCTTGACGAGAACTTGTTAAGCTCTTTCTCTGGCTTAGAAGCCCCGGAGCTCTGTCCAGGGTCCTATACCAACGTAGGGGACCTTTTGAAAACACCTCTTTTACAGAGTCAGCAAGAGTGGCAGTGACACAGGAATTCGTGATAAGGGTGAAATGTCCAAAAAATTCATCTGAATTGAATTCAGGTTCTCATTTGCAAAGGTATTGTTGCAAATACCTGTCATCATAACAATGATCATCCTTAACATCCATACTATCCTCATCCTTATCATCCTATAAAAGTCAAAGAAGACAAGAGGTGGAGTGGAGGGGAGAAAAAGACTTACATAAATGCAACCATGGTAAACACCAATAATTGTTAACTTGCATTTAGAAAAGCATGTTCACACTCTCAATTGCTCACACTGTGTTTGGTGTGGCTCTAGCCTGAGAGGTCTAAGATAATGCTTAGCAACAGAAAGAAAAGAAATCCTAAGAATCTGTAGACTGCATCATATGTTCATGCATGTCATTTTCTATCTAGACTTCCCATATGGAATTGTTTACTAAGGCTTCTTACTGTAGGTAAACAAACACATTTTATGTTTTCTTTTAAACTTCCAATATACAACTTTTAAAATGTGCACAGGTGGGGATGGTGAGTACTCTTAAAACCCAGACCAAAAACTATTTGTATTCCCCAAAGATATTGAGATTTTAAAAAATGCAATTTTTAATTTTTTTACCTCATGGACACATTGTTAAGAAAATCAGCCAGAGATTTTGATTGGTTGAGAGCTGTTTTTTCCTCTTCTGAGAATTCTCTTGGGTAATATTGCGTAGTGGCGTTTTTGGGATATGTCCTAATATATTAAAAGAAAATTCAACACCAAAAATTAGGTCAAAGAAAAGCAAACATAGGTCACGATAAGTCAAATGTTTGTCTCTGTGACAACGCTATTAAAATATTACTTTATATTTAGATTGTATTCATTGGATATTTTGCCTGATGCTTTAGACAATGGATAATGGCCACCTTTCAACGTCTACATATATTTCTTTTCAACATAATAAAAACCTCTTATTTTGCAAAATTTTTATTTATAACTCATTTCAAACTTATAGACAAATTATAAGGAGGGTGTAAGGGATTCCCACATACCCTTCACCTGGATTGATCAGCTATTAACATGCTGCCACCTTTTCCCTATCATTCTCTCTCTCTCTCCATTTCATTTCCTTCAACTTGTGTTTCTTAACCAGCACAAGTCACCTCACCCCCTCAGGGGACATCTGGCAAAGTCTGGAAACATCTTTGGTTGGCACAACCTGGACTTGCTACTGACATATAGTGGGGAGAACCCAGGGATACTGTTCAACACCCTACAAAGTACAAGACAGCCCAACCCCAACGGAGAATTATCCAGCCCCGAACGTCAGTCATGTGGAGGTTGAGAAATCCTTGCTCCATCCGGTCCGTTCCGCCTATGTGTGACCACTGTACCTCTGGGCTTCATTCTCAGTCTAGACTGAGTGAGCCCTTGGTTTGGGGGCCAAGAAGAGTTCATATGGCACCATTGTAAAAGTGTGGACTCTCACAACTGGCTGCCTGGCTTTGAAGTCTGGTGCTATCACCTACTAGCTGTGTGATCCTGAGCTAATTATTTAAACTCTCTGTGTCTGTTTTCTTATCTCTCAAATAATTTTTTTTCCTGAGTTGGGATCTCACTCTGTCACCTAGGCTGGGGTACAGTGGCATGATCATGGTTCACTGCAGTCTCAATCTCCTGGGTTCAGGTAATCCTCTGCCTCAGCCTCCTGAGTAGCTGGGACTATAGGTGTGTGCCACCACACCTGGCTCTCTCTCTCTCTCTCTCTCTCTCTCTCTCTATATATATATATATATATATATATATATTTTTTTTTTTTTTTTTTTTTTTAAGGTAGAGACTAGGTCTCACTATGTGTCTAGGCTGGTCTCAAACTCCTGGGCTTAAGCAATCTTCCTGCTTCAGCCTTTCAAAGTGTTGGGATTACAGGCGTGAGCCACTGTGCCTGGCCTCTAAAATAGGTTCTTATAGTATCTAGCTCATAAACTCATTGTAAAGATCGAATGTGTTAATACATGCAAAGCTTTTATTCTTTCTTTCTTCTTCTTCTTCTTTTGTGTGTGCGTGTGTGTGTGTCAGGGTCTCAGTCTGTCATGGAGTGAAGTGCAGTGGCACAATCATGGCTCACTGGAGTGCAGTGGCCCAATCATGGAGTGCAGTGGCACAATCATGGCTCACTGCAGCCTCGACCTCCTGGGTTCAAGCAGTCCTCCTGCCTCAGCCTCCCAAAGTTCTGGGATTACACGTGTGAGCCACTATGCCCAGTTAATTAAAAACTTTTAAAGCATTGCCTAGCACATCCCAAGTGCTCAATAAAATGTTCTGTAGTATTTCATTTGTGCTTGTTGAACACATGTCAATAAAATGTCTCCAAGAGGCGCAAATATAATAAATGGAGAGTAATCAGATCAACGGGTAAAGAGATTTTTGAGTATATTTACTAGAAATAAATTCATTCTTTTTTTTTCCTTGCCTAGATAAGAATCCATAACAGAGACAGAGTGGTAGAAAGAAAGAGTTGGTATTAGAACCAGAGAGGCTCGGGTTCAAATCTCAGTTTTATCTTTTAATTTCTATCCTATAGGTAGGATTAAGTATGAAATTATATGTTGCCTGGTGGTTTTATCAAAGGATTATAGCAACAAGCCTAAGAGTCACCGTTATTTTAAAAATATGATTTGTTTCATTGTTTTTCAGCAAATTTATCCATAATTCCTTCAAATTTAAATTATGTTTCAGACATTGAGCATTTATTTTTAACCTCTCTTTGCCTCAGTATCTCTATTTATAAAATAGAGACAGCGCCTATCTCAGAGCGCAGTTATGAGGATTGACTTGATGTGTGTAAAGCACCCCGAAGAACGCATCTTTGGTCTTTCTTGACTTCTTTCACCACAGTCATACATCCTGTCTTCCCTTGCCAGCTACCCTTCCAGATGTCCTGATCTTAGTAAATGGTGCCAGCATTCTCCCAGTCATCTAGGTTTGAACCATTTGAGTTCTTTCTGATTTTTTTTTTTTTTTTAGTTGGAGTCTCACCCTGTCTCCAAGGCTGGAATCCAGTGGCATGCTCATTGCCATCCCCGCATCGACCTGCTCAGCTCCAGCAATCCTTCTGCCTCAGATTTCCAAGCTGGAACTACAGGTGCGCGCTACCACACACTAACTTTTGATTTATTGTAGAGACGAGGGCTCACTAAGTTGCCCAGGCTGGTCTCGAACCACTCATCTCGGCCTCCCAAAGGTTGAGCCACCAAGCCCGGCCCCTTCTGATTCTTTTTGTTTCTCATTTTGTGGGTGACAAGACTCACCCTTACTTCTCATCTCCTTATTCTCTCTATGTAGAAACAACTCTATTATTATCAGTGAATGTTCACCGAGAGACCACCGTACCCACAATCCTGTGGTCGGGGTCCCCAATGCTGGAGGTTTATCATCTCTTTCTGAGTCTACCTACTGAGTCTACCATGGCTGACTCATTCCTGGACTTGTCTGTACATAGACAAAATCTTTGGCTGACTTGGCTTAGAAATTTGTCTCAAAACCCAAGCTTCTTTGCTACTAATGTCTCACTTCTCTCCTTCCTCTCTCAGTCTCACTTCTTGGTGTTTATAAATTTCTGATATTTTTTATTCCCCGCTAGGACTTGACTGCCAGTTCTTGTCTTTCTCTTTCTTTCCTCTGGTTCTGGCCTGTCTGTTCATCTGACTTCCCTGTTACAGATCCATCTTTTGGTCCAACCCTTGGATCTATGTGTATGTGCCCTGACTTTAACATTGCACTTCCATGGTTTTTAACTAGTTGGGTTACATAGATAGGAAAAGCATTCTTTTGCACTGCACTCCATGCGGTAGACCCCTAACTCTTGGTCATGACCTCTCTCATTGTGCATTTCATGGCTCTTCTCCTCAACTCGAACTCAAGTCTGGCATCATTCTGCACATTTTTCCTTAACTCCATCTCCCTCCCCCTCCTTTCCTTCCTCCACTCACTTTCTTTCTTCACTTAATAAATATGTGCCTGGAACTGTCTCAGGAGTTGAGGATATGGCAGTAAACAAAATATACCAAGTTCCTTTCTCATAGAGCTTGAATTCTAGGGCAGTGGGGGAGGGTGGAGAGAGAAAATTACAAATGAAAATTACAAATCAGTGATAAGAGCCCCCTGAAGAAAACTAGAGTAAAGGGAAAGATAGTTGAGAGATAAGGGGGGTTGTTACTTTTACATAGGACTGTCAGGTCCTGCCTCATTTGAGCAGAGATCCGCAGGAAGGAGGGAACGAGGCATAGACACCTGGGGGAAGAGCTTTCTACGTAAAGAAGCTATATACATAAACACAAGGGTTACAAGGATGCTTCGTGAATTTAAGGAACAAGGAAGTCAGTGTGGTTGACAGATGAGCAAGGGTAATTGTGGGAAAGGAGGGCAGAGGGGCAAGGGATGCAGGTCATGTGACGCCTTGTAGAGTCCTTTGGGGGATGGGAGGCCATTGGGCCATTGGAGGGTTTGATCAGTGACATGATCTGATTTATTTCTTTTCCTTCTCTTCCCCCTCCCCCTCCTACTCCACACTCTTACCCTCATCCTCACACTCATCCTTCCCTTCCTCCTCCTCCTCCCTCTTCTTTTTTTAGATAGAGTCTCACTCTGTCATCCAGGCAGGAGTGCAGTGGTGTGATCATAGCTCACAGCAGCCTCAAACTCCTGGGCCCAAGTGATCCTCCCGCCTCAGCCTCCCAGCAGCAGTAGCTGGGACTACAGGCATCAGACACCGTGCCCTACTAATTTTTAAAAAAAAAAAATTTTCTTGTAGAGATTAGGTGTCACTTTTTTGCTCAGGCTGGTCTCAAACTTCTGGCCTCAAGGAATCCTCCCACCTCAGCTTCCCAGTGATTTACATTTTAATAAGATTCCTCTGACTCTTCTATGGAGAGCAGAATATAGGTGAGAAAGGATGGATAGATTACAGTAATCCAAGCAAGAGATGATATATGGCTTGATCCAAGGTAATAGCAAGGGATATATTTTGAAGGTAGATCCAACAAAATCCAAGATTTTTCTCCCGTGTAATTAGGAGAGTATCATTCTCCCTTACTGAGATGAGGAGCCTTCAGCAGGAACAAAGGCAGGAAGTGGCTGAACAGCAGGATTCTGGGAACCAGAAGCAGCTCATAGGGCTGGAGCACAGAGGACTTGTTTAGAAACAGGGAGCGATGAGGCTGGAGACACAGACAGTGCCTGTCATGGAAGGAGGAGGACCTTATGTGCATCCTAAGGCTCTGGATGGATGCAATTCTGTAAGTGATGGAAGCCAAAGAAGAAACCTAGGTAATGAAGTAGCACAGTCTGATTTGCTGTGTGAGAATGATGTCTTAGGTAATAGAACAGAGCAGTTAGGAGATAACGGCCAGTGAGAGCACACAGCAATGTAACTATTAATGGCATCACTCATTTGCCCACTTCCTAGTCCATCTTACACATTTGCATCTCATTTTTCTGTTATGATTTTTAAAGGCATTGTTGAATATAGTTAGATCTTCCTGAACCGAATTACTCTGTTCTATTTATTTTAAAGATCTCTCAACATCATTGTGGACGTTGTTAGATTTTGCTGTAATTGGCTGTAAAAAAAGAAAAAGCACGAACCCATCACATACTTACCATCTTGTCTGAGTACTTATATCTCTTATTTGGGGTACTACTTGCATACTGACATCTTTCTCAAGTTGCTTAAGGGTAAATATTTTATCTGGGTAGGATGTACACTCAATATAGCCATCTTTTACACTGGAAGCATTCTGGTCACTGAACTTAATCGGTGCTCCAAATTCACTTCGTTTTCGGGATATCATGTATGTAATCTGCAACACATGTAAGCAGCAAAAAAACATCATGTGCTCCCTGGTGAAAAATGACTGTGTGAATCATGTTGGTACTGGGCCCAGATCCTCTCAGGTCCCTTTGTCCACTGCCTGTGTGCCCGTCTGGCTCTTGTAGGCAGCACCTGTTTCTTCTCTTTGTGGGACTGCTCTGGGGCTGCTGGGACCACTTTGCCCGAAGGTACAAAAAACAGGAAGTGATTGGGAGTTTACATTTCGACCAATGGTGGACTGGTAGAGGGCAGATGGAAACCCATCTCCTTGGCTTGTGTTTGGTCAAGGGTCAACTCTGGGGCGTACAATTTACAGTCCAAATTCTCTGCAGGTTCAGGCTGAAGCCTTTCCTCTGCCAGACCTTTGCTTGAGATTACAACTTGCAAGGCTTCTTCCATATCCCTGTTCTGCTACTTTTCATGCTCTTATGGGGCACCTTCATAATAAATCACCCAAGTACAAGTCTCCTCACAGGAGTTGCTTGGGAAGGGGCACCACTGTAGTAGTTTCCTTGGGCTACAAACTGGGTGGCTTAAAACAACAGGAATGTATTCTCTCAATTGTCATGGAGGCTACAAGTTTGAATCAAGGTGTTGGAGGGTTGGGTCCTTCTGAGAGCTCTAAGGGAGGATGTGGTCCTTGCCTTTCTCCTAGCTTCCGGTGATGACCAGCAATTTTTGGTGTTCCTTGGCTGGTAGACACGTCCCTCCAATCTCTACCTCCTTCACATGGTATTCTCCCTACATGTCTGTGTCTTCTCATGGCCATCCTCTCACAAGAACACCAGTCGTATGGGACTTGGGGCCTACCTTACTCCAGTATGTGCTCATTCTAAATAATTATACCTACAATGATCCTATTTCCAAAGAGGGTCGCATTCTGAGGTACTGGAGGTTAGCACTTCAATACATCTTTTTTTGGAGACAAAATGCAATTTATAACACCCACCTAAGGCAATATCCATTCTCCTTTAAAAACAAAACAGCAACAACAACAAAAAAAACATGTCTCCATAGCAAACCTTATGAATCCCTCAGGAATGAATGGTGTTCAGCTACAGGGAAGTAATGACTGGAGACCGTTTTAAAATCTCTGACCTGCTTTGTAGAATCTTTAACCGATTCTTCTTCAATTTCTTTTTCACTGCCCAAAGAAACCCATGGTTTAGAGACAGGTAATTTATACATATATACATCTTCAGGAATATGTTCTTTGTTTTCTTCTTGTTCTTCTGGTACCTCTGAGGGCTAGAGTAAAATAAATAGCATTCTCAAATATATGACCAAACTTTATAGCCACATTTATGTATTTTTCAATAAATTTTACCTTCACATAAATTCATTAAGCATTTCTTACTATGTGTCTTCTTTGTTGATTCTGATTTTGAATTATAAAAATAAAACAGTGAAAAAAAAGGAAAAATAAAAAATGAAAAAGAAAGAGACATAAAGAATATAGAAGACCAGGCTCGGTGGCTCAGCCTGTAATCTCACGCTTTGGGAGGCTGAGGTGAGTAGATTGCCTGAGCCTGCGGGTTCGAGACCTGCCTGGGCAACTTGGCGAGACCTCATCTCTACAATAAATCAAAAATCAGCCAGGCGTGGTAGTGCGCACCTGTAATTCCAGCTACTCGGAAGGCTGAGGCAGAAGGATCGCTGGAGCCCAGCAGGTTGAGGCTGCAGTGGCCGGCAGCAGCCACTGCACTCCAGTCTGGGCCACAGAGTGAGACTCCAACTCAAAGGAAAAAAAAAAAAGAATATAGAAAGATGAGAGGAGAGGAGACACAGATAGGAGACAAGAATATGTATACTATATGTATACACATATATAAATACACACTGATGCTTTATTTGAAATAGTGAAAAACTGAACAATTAAATGAGTATCAGTAGGGGGTGAGTTGATGATAAGAGTGTGATGTAATTATAAAATAAAATCCAATAAGGCAGTTATAATAAACAAACTTGATCTACATACATATGGCATACAAATGTGCTGGAATGATTTGTATAAAATGATATAATTTCTATGTACATTTAGTGTTACAATAAAATGCATTTTTTGTAGAGCATACATATATGGTAAAAGTCTACAGACATAAGCAAGAATGATATATAACAATTTTAGAATAATGGTTTCTATAGGGAAGAGTGAAGAAAAATGGAATTAAGGAGGGTCCAAGGGAGAGTGGAGCATTGTCTAAAATATTTCTTTCTTTTTTTAAAAAAAGCTTTGGCCTTTCGCCTGGAACCACCATCTTCTAGTAATTCACCAAAATGACAAACACAAAGCGAAAGAGGAGAGGCACCCGGTACATGTTCTCCAGGCCGTTCAGAAGACATGGAGTTGTTCCTTTGGCCACATACATGCGCATTTACATGAAAGGTGATAGTGTAAACGTCAAGGAAACGGGTATTGTTCAGAAAGGAATGCCCCACAAATGTTACCATAGCAAGACAGGAAGAGTCTATGTCCCCCAGCCTGCTGTTGGCATTGTTGTTAACAAACTAGGGCAAGATTCTTGCCAAGAGAATTAATGTGGGTATTGAGCATATTAAGCCCTCAAAGAGTCAACATTTCCTCCTGAAATGCATGAAGGAAAATGATCAGAAAAAGACGGAAGCCTAGGGAAGCCAAGGAGAAAGGCACCTGGGTTCAGCTGAAGCACCAGCCTGCTCTACCCAGTGAAGCACACTTTGTGAGAACCAACAAAAAGGAACCTGAGCTGCTGGAACCTATTCCCTGTGAATTCATGGCTTAATAGATGTCAAAAATAAAAGACCTCCGGACCATTAAAAAAAAAAATGTTTTGACCAGGTGTGGTAGCTGATGCCAGCACTTTGGGTATTACTTTGGGAGGGTGGGGCGAAAGGGATGCTTGAGCCCAGGAGTTCAAGACCAGCCTAGGCAACATAGTGAGACCTCGTCTCTACAACAAATCAAAAAATTAGCTGGGTGTGGTGGCCAGCTCCTGTAGTCCCAACTACTTGGGAAGCTGAGGCAGAAGGATCACCTGAGCCCAGGAGATCGAGGCTGCTGAAAGCCGTGATCCTTGTGATGATGCTACTGCACTTCAGCCTCGGTGACAGAATGAGACCCCAACTCAAATGTTTTGAAGTAAATATGATAAAATATTAATATTTGTTAATTCTGATTATATGATTGTGTGGATATTTATTATACTACTCTGTACTTTTAAAATATTTCACTATTTAAAAAAATTAAAAACAGGTAAAAGCAACCATAAAATAAAATCGAAAATGTTAAGGCTAAGTAAAACATTTTTTCTTACTAAAAATTGTTCGATGTTTTAAAACTCTATGGTTTTCCTTTATTCTCCTTTCTTGTTGGGCAACTAGCAAACCTGTCACCCCCAAGCAATTTAAACAAAATTCCCAAATTGTCTCTCTTAATTTGACCAAACAAGGATGCAGGATCAGAAAGAGGGTCTCATACATCTGTCACTTTTTCTTCTCCACCTTGAACAAAAGGTTTTATCTGTATTAGCCCATCTAAGCCTCACAACAGCCCTAGAAATGGGTATTATTGGTGCCATTGTTATACAGATGAGAGGTTTGGTAAATGATTCAATGTCATGCAGGTGAAAGAAGAGAGACAGGGAAGTGGGCCAGAGAGTGGCTGAGAGTGGCAGATTTCCTGTTTCCTCTCTCACTGAATCAATGAAGGGCAGAAACAGAGTCCTGGATGCCCTGAGATGCTTGATTTAGTTCTTCTTCCACTTCCTGCTCACCTATTCTAGGTGTCAGAGCCTGATCTGGGCCCCAGGGAAGCAGCTAAACAAGAACGGTCATCACCATGTAGAGGGATCCCCCAGGGGTACCCCGTCCTTTCTCATAATCAACATCTTGCTGGGGCTTGGGGTCTGCTTACATTGAAATAGTTTTCCTTGCCCTCTTCAGTTCCAATAAGATAAAAGTTGAGTCCATATCTGAAGTCTTTGTCATACACAAGCAGAAGCTCATCTCCAGGATATTCCTACAGAAATATAATCAAAGGAGAAGGTTAATGTTCAAGTGTCACTTGGTTCATTCAGGCGCTGACACAAAATTGATGTTTCTCTAATAAACCAATCATAAAAGATAACAATGGCGCTAATCTATGGCTAATAACGCTAAACTGCAAAATTATTTTATTAACTTACAAAAGCTCTTAAAAACACAGTGGGTCCAGGGAAATTTACCACTCAACTTTATTTCTAAGAGGAAAAGAGAAGCACTGTTTTTGTTTGGTGTTGTGCTCTGTAGTGTGCTTGGGAATAAATCAATACCAAAATTATAAATTAAACCATTAAAGTAGTCCAAAAAAATAAGGGCAGATTCCTATTCTAGTTAAACCTGGGCAGGGATGAGCTTTTTGGATGTGGGATAAGACAACCAGCCTGTGGTCGATGGAACTTTGCTTTTCATAGAGGCTCGCCAAGCAGAATTGCCAAGATGGCATGGGGAAGCTAGTATTTGCCCAAAGGAAGAGGAGATGCCAGATCTGAACTCAACAATCTCTCCAACTTTTGTAATTATGTACCAGGAACTTCTTGAGGTAGGGCTGAAAAACACAGATGAATTTGGTACTGACCTGGATAATTTTTTTGACTGGGTGGAAATCAGATACTGCAGCTCTGTTTCGCATGTCTTCAAAAATATCTTCTTTAGGGATAAGCTTATAAGGGTGTTCATCTGTGACATCTTCATCTATACGGCAGTTAAATATTTCCTGGGTCTTGGTAGTTAATACTAGAGGATAAATTTCTGGATGACCTAAGAAGAACCAAGTGGGATTTGAATATTAATTACAACCGCAAAAATTTTAATTAAGAATTATGAAAAGCAAGCAATTGTTTGTTTTCTATTGTTAATATTTTAAGACTTTAAAATTATTGTTCTTATATTTAAAGTGAATATAACTGTTATTAAAAATGTCAAAAAATATTTGTAAAAAGAAAATAACCATTCCCCAGAATACTATCCCTCAAGAAAAAAGTGTCTATTAATAGTTTGCTCTATTTTCTTCAGTTACTCTATGCATACCTTACATGAACTTCTTTTATTTTTATTTTAAAGATGTGGGGTACAATTCAGGGTTAGGTATACAAATATGCATTATGCAGGTACCCTTGTTGATGAGGTGTGCCCCTCCCTCCCCTAGCAGGTTTCCTCAACTGCCAATCCCACCCGCCCTCCCCTGGCAGTTTCCCACTACTGCCAATCCCTTTCTTCCTTACATGAACTTCTGCTTCGAAATCCTGCTTCTAATACTTACCATTATGCCACAAGTATTTTACTATGATATTAATCTATCCAAAATGATATTTTACTATGATATTAAGTAATCTATCTGTTAATTCAATTCTGCAGCATAATTTAAAACCATTCTTTTATTGGTAAGCATTCTAATTTTTTTCTCATTTGTTCCAATTATGGCAATAATTCTACAAACATATATCTAGCTTACAAATGTTGATTGCATTTCCAATTCATTTCAGGATAGATTTTAAGAGTGAGACCATTGATCTGCAGGCATGATTGCTTTTTTTAAGGTTCTTTTCGGCCTGTATTGCCTTTCTAAGACACCCCCAACCTCACCCTCCCCGGCAGCACAGAGAAAACAGTGTCTGTACAGTACAGAACCCTGGCTGGTCCTGCAGCCCCGCCCACCTGCTCATCCACACTGCGCCGCTGTTCCCGCCTCTCTTCCACCAGGACCTGCCCACTGTTTCCATCCTCCTTAGCCAACCTGGCCCCTTCATCTATTTCTCTCCTGCCAGCTTCTTTCTGTGATGTTTCCCTCAGCATGCTGATTTACTCAATGGTCTCTCATTTAAAAAAATTTTTTTTTATTATAAAGATGTGGGGTACAATTCAGGGCTAGGTAAACAAACATTGATCATGAAGCTACCCCTGTTAAAGTGGTATGCCTCTCCCTCCCCTAGCAGTTTCCCTCAACTGCCAATCCCACCCCCCCCAGTTTCCCATTACTGCCAATCGCTTTCTTATAGCATTATAATTGTTCAAGATGCTCTTATAAGTGAGGACATATGGAACTCTGTTTTTTGTGTCTGTGATAAATCACTGACCCCGTACAGGGACCTCTGCTTTTTTTTTTTTACTGCTCCAGACAATGACAGGGAAACTTTATTGAGGCCCCAGGGTCATGGGCCAGGGCAGGAGACCGCTTTGCCGGAGGAGCTGGCGAGGGCCTTATTTGACCTTCTTCTTGGGGTGCAGGTTGTAGGTGTGCCCACACCTCTTCTTGCGGCAGTTGACAGCACGGAGGTGCAGGCGTGCATAGCACCTGCAGCAGATCATCTCATCGCAATTCTACTTCTGGGCAATCTGGTGGAGGGAAGGCTCAATGATGCCATCTCGCAGGTGCTGCACCAGGTGCGGAGTGGACCCTTGCTGGATGTCGCGGTCTGAAAGAGTGCGGCCATCCTCCAGCTGTCTGCCCGCAAATAACAGACGCTGCTGGTCAGGTGGGATGCCATCCTTGTCTTGGGTTTCAGCTTTGACATTCTTGATGGTGGCACTGGGCTCAACCTCAAGGGTGAGAGTCGTGCCCGGGAGGGTCTTCACGAAGATCTGCACCTCTGTGCCTGCTGCACAGCCGCGGCCGTGGACTCGCCGGCCGCCTTGTTGAAAAGGGGACCTCTGCTCTGAAGGCTGCTTCTTTTCACGGTCAAAATCATTGTTGCTCAGTTCTTTACATTTTCACTGACTTCTCAACTAGTTTGTCTTCATAAGCCTGTGCACGTAGGAAGGGAGGGGTGTGCGGGACCCCTTCTCCCCCTCTGGCTCACCAGTCCAAGGATTGCCCTCAGAAGAGGAGGAGGACAGGTTCGAGAAGCTTCCATCCCCGACTTCCTGGCCCCTTCTCCCATCCCAGGCCAGTCCTCAGCAGCAGCATCCCTGGGCCAGTGGACACAAGAGGGCAAGGCTGCTGTCCCCTCTCGCAAGCCTTCTTCCTGTTTTCTTATCCTTATCATCTTCAGCTTCTGCCATGCCGGTCCCAGCTCTGCGTCTGCCCCAGGACTCTCTCCCGACCCTCAGGATCCACTCCACCTGCTCTGCACCCCACACACCTGGGCATCCCGCCATCCATCCCGCCATCCTCCAGCCCACTGCCCAGCAGGCAAACCCGTGAGGGAGAGGCCTCTCATGTTGGTATCTTAAGTTTATTTTCTTATATAAATATTCTCTCCCTTGCCCCAGTGGCTCTGTATTAGTTAGGTCATTTGGGGCTTAAAATTTTTTTTTTTTTTAATTTTAAAGATGTGGGGAACAATACAGATTTAGATATACAAATGGCCATTGTAGAGGTAAAGTTTGGGCCTCCCTTTGGTTCCCACTTCACCTGGTTTGAGAGCTGGTACCCTTATTCCCCGCCCCCCTGGCAGTATCTATTGCCAATCCCTTTCTGACAGTATCATGGTAAATGTTCAGGGTCCGCTTATGAGTGAGAACATGTGGTACTCAGTTCTTGGTTTCTGTGATAGATCACTGAGTATGATAGACTCGAAGTCCACCCAAGTTGCTGAGAAGTAATTTGGGTATTTTTAATGACTGTTGGCATAACACTGATAGGTGTGAAAATATATTTCTTTTTTTTTTTTTTTTTTGAGCTGGAGTCTCACTCTGTTGCCCAGACTGGAGTGCAGGGG